ATATATCAAATAAGTCGATAGCGTATAGTAACGGACGATGCGCGGCCGCGAATTTGGCGCGCAGCCAAAAGTCGGTGCGCAGTCGTGCCGTTACAACATCATGGATGAGTTGAGAGCCCGAATCCATCGAAATGTGCAGATTCGATTTATCGCGCTCAATGGGCCTTACACACCCCAACAGGACGACCCCCCTCTGTTAGTCCTGTATGACGCCGCACGTGCACCTCAAGTGCCCCTTTGTAGACCGCGCTCCCGTGATATTTCGAATACATTTGAGTTGCTCCCGACCCGTCCACGCATGGGCCCATGACATTCCTCGCGCGTCGGCAGGCTTAGGGACTTGACTCGGTCAATTCATGCAACAAGTCTTTCCTAACTGCACGCCACAATGGAGAGCGTGTACACATCAAAGAGTACAGCCATACAATGAAGGGCAATATAAGCTGCGGTGCATGCCAAGGCAAGTTGATTGCCAAACGTGGCGTCGTCTTGGTTCACCACTTCAGCCACGAGGCAAAGTGCACCGCGTATGCGAGCAGCTCAGAGCCCATGACGCCGTGGCACAGCTCCTGGCAGGACCAGTGCCAGCAAGAGCATGTGCAGGTGGCGGTTCGCCGCACCTTGACCGACGGGAGAAATGTCCTGTGTATGGCCGACATTGTCAATAAGGATGGAACCGTGATCGAGATCCAGCACAGCAACATTAGCGCGTCGGACATGGCAAAGCGAGAAGAGTGTCACTCCGACATGATCTGGGTTCTGGACGGCATTACAGAGCAGAATGCAGTCGTGCCTCTGTTCACGTGCAAGACCGTCGCTCAGAAACCATTTGTGGTTATGGCCGTCGAGCGCAGCCAGCTCAACTTTGCATTTCGCGCGACAAGGAAGGTCTACTTCGAGACCCCGTACGGGATCATCCGGTTACTGCAAAAGTTGGAGAGAGCTACGTTCCTTGGAAAAGTCGTCCGATACGGCGAGTTCATGGGACGATACTTCAACGGCATCCTTGAGGAGGGGAAGCAGCGATTGCCATGTTATCAAAACCTCAGATTTGACGGTCTGGTCTACAACCAGACGGACATGACCGTGGGCCCAGCGAGACAGGGTATGGGCACGTTAAGATTCAGAGATGCCATGGAGAGCGCAGGTTTCTTCTGGGCTACATCACTGAAGCTATACAGGCACACATTTTCAAGGCTCGAACTTCCCGCAGCCCCTGCAATTCCTGCAGCCCCTGCAGTGCCTGAAGTTCCTAAGCGACATGTCGCCCCTGTACCCTCGCCCCCGAAGCAGCTCATCACTCCCAAAGTAGTGGAGAGAGAGGTCCCCGTGAGAGAGCGGCAGATCCCAACGCCTTCACGTGCACCTTAACCTTCCGACTTCCGTATGAAGCGCAGGGAGGTGTTTGCCATGCACGCAAGGCTGGGAAAGGACGACAACTACTTAGCAGGGCAAGAGAGTTGGCAAAGACAAAGATTAAGAATTGTGCTCGTTAGCCACCCCCCAGCGGTGACTGCCTTGCCGTCCGATAAAGTCATCTGTGCTGCCGCATCTCTCTGCGCCATTCGAGGAGCTTACTCTGTGAGAAGGGGACCTTTTGCTTGCTGCTCTTCTTGTCGAGGGGGCCCAAGTAGCGTTTGCGGTCCTCTGCCCACTTGAATAGCTCCAGATAGTCCGGTATCTTTGTCGCACACCGGTCGTCCAAGAGGTATGCCAACATCTGTTTATTGGTTGCCCCCAGACCGCCCTCTTCCGGTTGCTTGCCTGCCTTCAGCAGCTTTTCGAGGCTTTCGAGGCGCGATCTGTTCTTCTCTCTCTTCCCCGCCCAGACCCTTTGACGGGCTCTTGAGCTCGAGCCCCATGTCTCCTTGAGGTCGTGGACCAACCAATTCAGGGCAGCGTACGGTGGTCTCGCCCCTTCAATGATAGAGGCCCCTCCTGAAGGCGATCTCTGAATGACTACATCCAGTACGGGAATGTTGTGATCGAATTCGATATTTCCCACTCTGATTTGCATCCTTTAATCGATACTTATGAGACGCGGCCTCCCGTCCGTCTCTGCTGGCAGGTAGCGCAATCGGAACTGCAAGTTGTCAGACCTTTTATCCGTGTAAAGGAGGCCCACTGGCGTTCCGCACACGACCTTCTTAATGTTCCTCGGCAGAATCCTTCCACGCAACTGTATCATCATGGTGACCGCCTTTGCGCAGAGATTTGTCGCCACATCCAACGCATCGTGGACGTGCCGCCCAGACTTCACATAGATCTTCGTGTCGATGTCCTTCGAGACCTTTATGGTGCTATTAAATCGACGCATGGCGTCACCTCCCGTGATAAAGATGTGGCCTATATCACGCTCGACCAGTTTCTCTTCAATGGCCTCTATCGTTGCATTCATTGTCGGCCGCAGTGCTTCGATCAGACGCGCTTCGCATTCTTCCATCTCTTTCGCACTCGAATGTTCTAGCGACCTGAGCAGCAGCCGTCCAGTGGTCCCCTTGTTTCGTGTGAGGAAGTCGGTTCCGCTAAACAACGTCCGTGAACGTTTTCGCCACCGCTTGGTACCAGTACGCCACCTTTTGTGGCGTCCCCATCTGTCGAAGTAGATAAGCACTGAAAACACGTTGCCGGATACCATCAATGTTGTATTTCTTATCCTTTCGCTTGGACTTGATGAGTTCGATAAAAGTTATACACCCTTCGAGGTTCAGATAGGGCGTGCCTGGTGCTATGTAGGCGTTTCGAAACCTGTCCGTGACATTTATCCGGCCGAGATCGAGCACCTGCACATCGATGTACCTCTGGTTGCGATCGCCAAGAGCAATACCTGTCCACCGCGCAGGATATGGTATGTCTGCAAGAGTGAGGTCCACGGCACAGTCTGCACCATTCGCAACGGTATATAATCGTCTTCGACGCAACGCTTTGTCCTGTCTCATGTGATCGAGCAGCACCTTAAAGTAATTGCAAAGCTGCGTCGAAGCGTCAATTGCAGCGGCTTCATCTGAAACGAGCACCCAGATGTCCCAATCATTTGGTACAAATGCAAGCCTGTCGGCAGGAGTGGCAAGCGCGGAAGGATCATTCGACAGCACAAATTGCATGGCCTGACTACCGACAACAGAACATGTCCACGCCCTAGCCTGCAACCACTGCAAAAGCATCTCGACATATGGTGACAAAGACTCTGCCAGAGTCGAATGCCGTTTCCTCTTCTCCATGAAATCAGCATGCATCCCCTGATTTGAGACGTTCAGATATTTGGGAACCATCTTTTGAATACCACATGGATAATAATGGTTTAATGGTACAGCTGCAACAAGTAACACCTTGGCAGTAACCTCTGCTATTCTCGCCTTCGGTGAGTCCAAACACACCGTGATCTCTAACGCGGATATGACGAGCATGTCGATCCCCACAACACAGTCCAATTATAGTTGTCTACCGTGGCTCCCAACTGACCTTCCGTTTGTAAAACTCGAACCTCTTAAAACAAATTCTCCATAGCACAGGTTAATCTCAACAGTATTGCACAGCACATTATTGACACATGTAGTACAACGCACAGCTACCCACGTTGTTGGTGGGGCTAAAGCCCCTCACGATGTTGGTGGGGCCATGGACAAATCGGCGCGTGCAAAGGTATCAGAATTCGATCTGGCCTCGTGCATAGCGTGAGCCAGGCGGGGAAGTCAAAAGGAAAATTCAATGCCTGCAATGCACAGAAGATGCGTTTTAAGAGCAGAAATCACACTACACTTATATCTGAAAAGCAAACTGAATCTGAAGGATTTGCAAGATCCTTGAGTTTGGACAAGCAGTCAAGACTCTTTCATATGCACAATCAGACTCGAAATAGTCCCGAAACTGGGCGTGCTGCGGTTTGCCATAAGACGACCAGCGTTGAGTTTCATAAAGATCAAGTGTTCACCTCTCTGGTTGCCCCAACTGGTCACTTCCGACAGAAACTGGTGGATGTGACTACGAACGAACTCGATCACCATCTCATCCTGAAAAATACACGAAACCACTTCAGTATGCTCTTTGCAAAGTTGTAAAACTGTCCGCCACAATTGGCAACATTCTGCAGGCATTCTGCATTGCTTGCCAGCAATGTTCACAATATGTGTGTGCAAGGGTTGCGGGTTGCTTACCCCAGACTTGGCTGCCGTGGCGCCCCCTGTATTTAGCAAAAGCAACACATATCAGCTTTTGTGTCGCCTTTCAAATGCAAGCATGGCAAATGATCGGGCCCCAAAACATGGCCTCAAAAGACTGCGACGAGTTGGTCTCCTCACCGTAAACAGCCCGCAAGGACTTGATCAGCGAGGCGATGGTCTTTCCAATCAGATCGTCAATCGCCGGGTCCTACAAGGAATCAAAGCAGAATGAAGTTGGGGAGGCGTCCAGAAGAACTGTTTCAACATAGGCCCTTTGGGGCGACTTCAAGATGGAGGGATCGAAGATCAAGCGGAGCGCCATGGTAGATATGCCATGCTAAGCCTGGACTGACCAACAGACTATGTGTCAAAGGTTTGTCCAGTGACGATCCATCGGAAAGCACATGTAGCAACCAAGGATCAGTTGAGCGGGGGTAGGAAATGCCAAGGGGATGTTGACAACGTACCTCACAGTCCACGCTCCTCACACTCGCCGCAATTAAGCGCGACATCTGTGCCGTTTCGTCAAGAGTCGGGGGTGCCTCCCAGACTTTTGCCTGCACCTCCGCCTGCAACTTTGCCTCTGCCTGCAACTTTGCCTGCGCCTCAGTCGCCACCCGCGCAAGCTCAGCCAGCTTTGCCTGCTTCTCAGCCTCCAATCGATCCGCCTCAGCTTGCAGCTTTGCCTGCAGCTCAGCTTGTCCTTGCGGGATCCCTTTCAGATACTCCGATGCCGCAGGAGGAGTGGGCGGCGTTGGGAATGGATGGGTGTTACCTGCCTGCATACCGAGGCATTGGAGTAGCTCCCCCTGCAAATGTCAAGGACAATCAAAGGACATCAGTAAGAGGCGCCAAGCTTTGGGTAAACCCAACAATCGGGTGCAATGATACCCGCATCAAACATACAGTGCCCCCTAACTATTTTCAGGGGGGTTTGATGTACACACCACAGGCGATCCTTTTGATGAAACCAGGTAATCGTCTTCTAAGTTCAAGGCCCCTTAACCATCAAACATATGAAAGCCCCCAAATGGAAAACAAACGATCTGCACCAGAATACGATCCCCCATTCTATCTTAAAGAAACCCTTCCAATAAAGAGACCCATCAAACATACCAAAGCCTAAAACTAATATAACCCCAATCTTCTGTGTTCCAAAAGACCTGAATAATCATGTGAGTAATCAATGCACAGCGACCCATCAGACCCATCAAACATACATGCAACCCCTCGATGGCCACAAACAATCTGCAAAAGCTAGGTCTCCCGAACCAGAAACTGGTGAAATGACCCACCTCCATGAGACGAACCCTCTTGCGTGAAGTCCCCTCTCCCGCCATCTGGCTCAGCCTTCTAGAAAGTTGCGCCAGCCAAAAAGAGTGCGCTTACAGATATGCGTTTGTTGTGGGATTTGCCGGGAGAACTTACAACGCATCAAGTGTATCACAATGTCCCGAGATAGACGCAGAGGCAGTACGCATGCTCAGTTACTACCGCCAGCGCAAATCCATTAGCCTGCAGCGTGGTCAGGCACGTGCGATTTCCCAAGGTCAGCTCGTGCTGCGTACAGCACACGAGCTAGACCACTAGCCAGGGCAGCAGGCTAAAATCAGTCTAGCAGATTGTTTGCCAGATCCACATCCGCGAGATTCATTCATGGATATTGAGTTGGCTTGGCCAACGCCTGTTTGTTATTGATATTGAATTTGTTAATGTTTTATTGTTGTTGGTTTTGTTTTTGTTATTGTTGTAGTTGATCGATAAACATTCCACTAATTTCGACACCACTGAGCCGTACGATAAATCCACTTCACATAGGGGTGTATCTTAACTGCCGGCCCGAACTGATCTAATTCAGTGATGTGGAACTATTAAACTTAGTGTGCTGTGCCGTTAACCCCATACCCTGTTGGTACAGGCTGCCAACTTTGACACCAGAATGAATTGAACAAGTTGGATTGAGACGATTAAGGATTGTTTGTTGGTGCCGCTCTTTGAAAGTGCCATCTGGCTGTAAAGTGGAGACATTTTGTACGGCCGCGGGAATCTGGCACCCACTTTCGACTGTACGGTCCACTAAAGACACGGTCCTGCCGGTTGCTGACACTGTCCAACTGGGTTGTATTCTTCGCAAACGTGGCACCCCATCAGGTGCCTTGCTAGTGTAGGTGCCGAAGACCGTTAGGATCCCGAGCGTCTCTGACACCATTGTTGGTCCTAACCCCCCGCTAGCGCCTCAAAGTGGGTCGAGGCAGGCCAGTAGATTTGTTATTTCCAACCCTCAATCCAAATCGTCCACATGGCGCAATCTTACTTCGTCTCCGGTCCACAGCAGTACTTGATCAGTGAGGGAAGGCTCTATGTGGCAGCCACACCTCTTGAAGCCAAGGACTTGAAGGCGACATCCTCGAAAAGGAGGCGCGTGCATGCTGAGGTGAGAGATCTGCAGAAGGGCTCCTTGCTGAAATAGGAAATTCTGCGTGAATGCTTTTCGCTTTTGTGTTAGGTCATTGTCATGCGATCCGCTCTGATCTGCAATCCCCATCTGAGTCCACTGTCCACGTGCTGCGTCCTTTCTGATTGGCCCCCCTTTTTTTTGCAGAGCTCTGCAAGCCTACCGGTGTCCCCAGATTCCCTGGTGCAGAGCATCACCTCCTCCGTCACTGCCTCCGTCACCTCCACCACCCAGCTGCTGCTGAAGCAACTGGAGCTGGATGATGCTCTGGTGTGGAGCCAGACTGTCAAGCTGGCAGCTGGCATATGCTCTTCACGGCCCGGAATCCTCGTGCAAGCTCTGCAGAAATGCGAGTCCAGGGTTTCGCTTTTAGACGACATAGCTTCCATCTTCATCGATTCCCTAGCTGTCCATCCAAGCCCGTTGGGTCCACTCCCCCCATTGCACCAGTGGCCAGCTCCCTGCCTGATAATTTGGGAGGTGGAGGGTTCCACTTTTATTCATCCACTCATTTGCCCGACCTCTTCCTATCCCAGCCTTGACTCTTATCTAGGCGAGGTCAATGATCCTACGCACTTGCAGGAGCAGCTCAATGCCTGGCTGCGGTACTGGAAGCCGCTGTTCCCTCGGTACATGTGGCCCACAATGCGGGCTGCTCTGGCCTCACAAAAGGAGAAGATGTACAAGCTGGGGGTTGGACAGTCGCTGGAGCACACGGCCAAGTTGAGGCTGCACCGGGCCAAGCTGGCCTATGACCGTCGCCGGGCAACTCTTGGAGACTTTACGGACGAGACCCTCCAGAATCTAGAAGATGAGGCATTCGAGAAGCAGTTTGACTATGATGACCTGCTGCTTGCAAACAGGGGGCTGCTTGATTGGTACCGGAGCACGAGCTTCTTCCTCACGGGCCGCACAACCTCTACCGCCTGCATGGGCGGCATGGAGTATCCCGCTGTCAACACCCTTGAGGCCAGCCTCTTTGGGGCGGATTGCCTGCCCACGCTGCAGGAGGACACTTCGCCGTTCTTTGGGGTGATCGGCGTTGACGACAAGTCGCAAGTCTTTGCGCCCGTGTGGGGGATGCTAATGGCCTGGGTGGCGCAGGGGGGTTTGCAGGAGTGGCTGCCTCAGGTGAGAATCGTTATTGTGTTGTTCTTCTGTGTTTATTACCACTTTCCAGATCTTCAGGCGACACTTCGAGGAAACTGGTAATAGGAGGGCACTTTACACGGTTGTCGGAATCAAAACAAACCGTGCAATGAGTTGGCGGAGCAGTTTGCCTCCAAGACTCAGATTGCATGCATAGCGATATGTACAGGATATTAGTAACGAAAGAGCCACTCGACCCACCTTATGAGTGAGTCCTTACGATTTCCGTTTCTCTGCCCTCTGCAGGCCGAGTCTTTCGAAGAGTCCTTGCGGCTGCTTAGGGAGCGGGAGATCAAGAAAGTCTGGGACATCTGGGCTTCGACACCCAATGCAGACAGCGCGGCGCTGCTCAAGGGTTGGATGGAGGGGCCGGGTGCTGTCTTCCCCGCGATGGTCGCCAACATGCAGTCCCCCCCGGTCGGACTGCCCCCCGTGCACGAAGAGGCTGCCATCCACGCGCAGCTGCGAGCAACCAACCCCGCCCGCGGGGACTGCCGGTACAAGCTTGATCGCGAAGCTCTCTACGGCTGGCCGAGGATGGCCGCTTGCGCCCTGTGCGGTATGGAGGACGTAGACCAGCTGTCGAGCCTGTATAGTAGCTGTGCGCATACGATCTGCTCTGTCTGCTACACTGTCACTCACCAGGCGTCTAGCATCAACGGGCCACCCCAGTGTGCGGTCCGCTGCGGGGGGTCCGGGCACGTCAATCCTGAGCCTAGGCATGATCCAGCCACTGTCATAGAATTCAGCTGTGCGTCTTTGAGCTGAGGAGAAGACAATCTCTGTTGTACATTAGAAATGGCAGAACCAAAGAGCGCAGAGCGTGTAACATACGTTCTGATTGATAACCGAAAGCGTGACCCCAGTGACTCTGCGTTTGATTTTCGCGTCAGCCTTTCGAATGCATCCACTCCATTCCAACATATCTCGGCAGTCAGACTCGTGCAGTTGCAGATTGCAAAGCTAGCAGCAGAGGACTATGTTATAATCTCCGTAGACCCTCTCGACGGGTCCGTGCAATGCTTTGGAGATGGTGAAACGGATGCCTTCGCAGTAGGCATCTATTCTAATACGGACTACCTGCAATTGAATGCCCTGTGTGGGGACAACATCACTGGCCAGACATCTTATGACCCCCCGCTCGCCCGTCTAAACAACATGCGAATTCGTTTCCGAAAGTATGATGGCGACATTATCACCTCAGATGACTTCAAAAATGAGGACGGGTCGATCAGTGCAAATCACGATAAAATCATGCTTGTTTTCGCCTTTACTCACAAGAATGCCCGTGTCCCTTGAAAATTTGTGATGGTGAATGTAATGGAGACTGCATGGCTGATCATCTCTCTTGCACTCGTCTCGCTCGTGCTGAGAGTCTCGTGCCCTGCCGTCCCATTCAAAGGAGAAGGTTTCAAGGATGCAGATGACGGATGACATGGAAGTGTCCGCACCATCGAAAAAGAAGAAGCCGAAACAGATCAGGCGCAAGGTGAAGAAGGCGACAAAGGATGTCAAGAATGGATTAAAAAAGGCCTTCAAACTTGATGCGATGAAGCCAGCAAAGAGAAAGGCTGCTGCACCGACAGATGTGTATGCACCACGAAGGATGGTTTGTATGCGGAATGTGTCAGGTTTTGTTGTAGACAGCGTTGGTGCAAGCGGATTGGAAGTGAATGATCTTCACAATGATCTTTTGTTTCTTTATTGTCTTCAGAGAATCTCTAATGCCTTTCAGGAGTACTCTAGCATTCATTCAATCACTACCTAGTCTAGACTAAGTCAATATGACCGTCTACAGTCGTTTAGCGTGTCCAGTCTGTCCAGCCGTCTAAATGCGCGCGGCCCACGTGGTCGGTCTTCTGACCAAACAATCAGGTCAACCGGGTCAGCCCGGTCAATCCGCGGTTAGCTAAACCTACCGCTAAGTACCGTACACTACAACACTCCCCCACGCTCTTATTGGCTTATGTCCAGCTTGCTATATCGAGCCTGTCTTCGACGTCTTCACAGCGTGTACCGATCCGGAGCCCTCCGTTCTCGGATGGAGTGCCTGAATGGCACCGGTTCTTCCTCCCCCGCTTTGTCGTCGTCTGGCTCGCCCCTCAGGTCGATTTCCTCCGTTCGGGTCTGAGCCCGGGTTATCACCTTTCCCACGCTTCGTTCCGTCACCCTCGCTTTCGTTGCCGGCTGTCCCGTTCCGGCTGTCTTTCCTGCTCCCCCTGGTTCCATTTCGGCCCCCTTTCCGGCCCCCTTCTCTGCTGTCGACGGTTCCGTTGCCTTTCCGTTGAGCTCGAACTCGCTCGTGGCTGCCTTGGCCGGTCGCGCCGTCTCGTCGAAGAGGACGTCCCGGGATACGAGAATCTGCCCGTCTCGCTCCCGCAAGATCCGATACGCTTTCGCACCCGGCTCGTAACCGACAAACGTCCCCCGCTCGCTCACTGCCTCGAGCTTCTTGCGAAGCGCCTTGGGCACGTGGACGTCGCGCGCGCTCCGAACACACGCATGTTCCCCACGTTGGGTTTCTCCCCCCAAAAGGCTTCCCAGGGCGTCTTCCCGTGGGCTGCTACCGACGTCCTATTGCGTGTGTAGTTTGCGGTCAGGACCGCTTCCGCCCAGAGGTTCGGGGGCAGCCCCGAATCCTCTAACATTGCCCGCGTCCGCTCCTCTAGCTCCCGGTTCAACCGTTCGGCCGAACCGTTTTGTTCCGGGGTGTACCGTGCCGTTGTGTCATGCACGATCCCCTTCTCCTTCAGAATCCCCGTGAACTCCGAGTTCACGTACTCCGTTCCTCTGTCGCTCCGGACTGACTTCACCTTCCGTCCGGTTTGGGTTTCGAGACGGTTTAGCACCGCCCCTAGCTCCCCCGCTATCTGGTCCTTGGCCTTGACGGGCACCACAACGGAGAGCTTGCTCGCGTCGTCGAGCACCGTGAAGAAGAACCGAGCTCCCCCCTTTGATGCAACCGGCATCGGTCCACACACGTCCGTGTGGACGAGTTCTAGAGGCTCCTTCCCGGCCCGCTCGTCTTTCTCTTCCGTTTTCCGAAATGTCTCCCGGGTTTGTTTGCCCAAAACACACGGCTCGCATATGGCCGTTTTCAGCTCACGAAACTTCTCTGGCTTGACCCGCATCCCCGTAACCAGCCCATTCGACGCCATCTGAGCCAGCCGCTCGTACCCGGCATGCCCTAGACGCCTGTGCCACAATTCCGCTGACTCGGGCTCCCGCACCAGGAACGCCTGGCTATCTATAGCTTTGGGTATAACCCACACGTCGCCAACCGTGCAGGCTTCAAAGAGGGTCTCCCCCGCATGCCGAAGCTCACACTTTTTCTCCGTGAAGACAAACTCTGCACCCTTCTCCGTCGCTTTGCTAACTGAGAACAGATTTGCCGCCGCCCCGGGAACGTACAACACTTCCCGCAACGTCACAAGGGCTACCCCGGTTGGCGTCTTAACCAGAATCTCAACCTCCCCAACACCTTCCGCTTTCAGCACCCCCTTGTTCCCGAACTCGATCTCCCGGCCGTTCTCCAAACTCTCCAGCGATTTGAACACACCCTTCTCACGGGAGATGTGATGCGAGCTTCCCGAGTCCAACACCCACTCTCCGTCAAACAACCCCCGGCCCAGAGATGCAAAGGCAACCCCGAACATGACCTTTGAACCGTTCTCCTTCCTCTTCCGACAGTTCCGTTTGGTGTGACCCTTTTCACCGCACTCATAGCAGTTCCCGTGAAACACGGGCCCCTCGCTTTCGGATCCGGATCGATCATTCCCTTTATGGGAGTGCCTGTTCCCTGCATACCCAGGCTGACCACGCTTTCCCGCTGCAAAGGCCACAGCGCCGGCCTCCTCGTTTGACCTGGCGGCTCCCAACCCTAGCCTTGACTGTCAGAAGCAGCTTAGGCAGTATTGCTTCTACAGCCAACTCCTTCTCCGCAGACTGCAAGATTTGGACCTGTGTGTCAAACGTGGCTGGCAGCCCGACCAGCACACACCACGCCAATTCCTCGGGCTTCATCTCATGCCCGGTAGCCGTAAGATCCCTGAACAAGTCCTGCGCCCTAGCAACATACGCTGCGACAGATTCCTCAGAACCCATGCGAAGAGAGTTCAATTCCTGCCGCAATTGCAACTTCCGGGCATTGTTCTTACTCCTGTAGGTTGCTTCCAGCAACCCCCATGCTTCCTGGGCTGATTTGCACGCTCCCACTGTCCCCAAGTGCATGTCCTGCACGTTCAATGTGAGAAGCGCCAGGGCCGACTCCGAGTCGCCCTTGTTTGCCGAGGAATCTTCCACTCCTTTCCACAGTTTCTTGTGGACCAACAAGGCCTTCATGCGAATGCTCCAAGTCGCATAGTTGTCCGCTCCGAGCGGCGCTATCGCGATCTTGTCCCCGGATCCCGCCATCGTGGCTGATCCAACAAAAGCAACGCAGACAGGCTGTTTCCTGAGACACTTCCTTGCGCTAACGTGGGCCCATAACCTGTTGTAGACAGCGTTGGTGCAAGCGGATTGGAAGTGAATGATCTTCACAATGATCTTTTGTTTCTTTATTGTCTTCAGAGAATCTCTAATGCCTTTCAGGAGTACTCTAGCATTCATTCAATCACTACCTAGTCTAGACTAAGTCAATATGAGCGTCTACAGTCATTTAGCGTGTCCAGTCTGTCCAGCCGTCTAAATGCGCGCGGCCCACGTGGTCGGTCTTCTGACCGAGTAATCAGGTCAACCGGGTCAGCCCGGTCAATCCGCGGTTAGCTAAACCTACCGCTAAGCCTAGTACCGTACACTACAACAGGTTTTCAGTGCCTGTACGCCTAAAGTTGCATCCATCGAATCCATCAATTGATGACAAGCACTCTTTCATAGATCTTGTCAGAATCGGATGATATAGGGGACGCCTCCAAATGCCACGTGCTCAACAATGGTATGTCTATGTCTATGTCTAGTAGTCTCTTAGCTCAATCACAATCCTGACAGCTTCTCGGACCAGTTCGTAGTCACTCGTCAAGACGTAAGCCTTCTGGAGGTGCTTAATCCGTGAGCGTTCAGCTGCGTTTAGATAGAGCACATTGTGGTACATCTCCTTCAAAAAGAACTTGTGCGTGTACCGACGGCCTCTGACACCATTGATGTCGATGCCCGACCGGATATAGCCGTCTGCATATGCTCGAAGCACTTCGGAGTCGATAGGGACGTCCGGGGCCAGCCTCTGGTGCAACTGCAGCACCCGAAGCCAGCGGGTGTGCCTCTTGTCGATCTTAGATAGCTCCCTCATTGGTCTTTTGAGGATTCACGTAGGGCCGTCGCCCGAATCGGAGCATGCCCGCCCCCAAAACGTCTTCGAACCTGTAGTATTTCTCATTGTACCAGCCAGATGTGTAAGGCTGCAGCCGACAAAGGTCTGCCGTGCCGAGACAATAGGTGTAGCGGGCAGTATACACCGTCATCAGAGCGTCCTGACGCGTCCACTCTGAGCCCTCTTCCTGGAATTCAAAGCTCAGATTGAATCCCTCGTCTCTCAGCCTACTTGACGCGTGAACCTTGCAAGCCTCGATTAGGCGGGGGTATTTACGGAAGGCTTCGGGCGCGATTACCTTTGCAACAAGGGGTGCGGGCGGAACCCCCTGACACTTCTTGGTATACTTTTCCATCAACGATGGCCATAGGTCACTCACGGCAGTACTATAGTCGGTTGCCGTGCATGCGAGCGCTGTCAGGTGTGACGATTACGTCTGGTTAAGCCTAACCTCGTTCTCGTCAGGATTTCGTTAGCTGCTTGTTAGCGAAACGACAGCGGTTACATCTTAACGGCGCGCTGTAAGACCGTTGAGATAC